ATATCTATACTTATCATTTGGAACTTTGTTAAAATCAGCTATTTCCTTTTCACAGTCATACGAAATATTATCTACCGTAGCTCTTTCATAAGCTAAAAATGGTAGCAATTTTCTATGTTGTTCTTTACTGATATCGCATGAATGATGTAGTTCAGTTAATTTCCCATACAATCGTTTAGCCGAATTACAGTAAATGTTCCTCTGGGCTAACAACAGTTTAATTTCACTAGGCAAATTATCCCTATCAACCATGATATTTGTTATTTGTAGTTCTAAACAATCTATCTTAGTGATTTTCGAATCCAGTCTTTTCTGTGTCTCTAGCAATTACATAGACAGCTTCTTAGCCTCATTGCTAGCAGATACGACAATTGAATCAAAATAAGTAACAGTTTCATCGAAAGATACTAAGTCAGAATTATAAGCATTTACTGGAATATTGAAAGATCCAAGAATATTTCGTACCCTTGTGGTCATTGGAGATTTGTCAGCGGCTTTTGATACGAAGCATCTCCCATGAACTTCGTATGCCTCCTCATCTGATTCTTCCTCCATTTTTGCATACATTGCTCCGTGAGTTGGATTTCGCATTTCCTCATCGTCTGATCCAGATGACCAGATTTGATAAGTTTCTTCTTCATCCTCATTCTCACCCTTTGCAACCAATGACAAATTTTTGGCTTTCGCACGAACCACCTCCAGTTTCTCTGCATAGTAAGCCTCATCCTTGACCTTATTCTTCCTTTCATCCTTCTTTCGAAGCATACAGTCATTTGCAAGGTGATTAGCACCGTTGCAATAATGACAATCTATCCCTGCATCTCCCTTTAATTTCTTCTCTGTTTTCCCTCAACAAGCTTCGTATCTTTCATCTCTTCCTTCTTTTTCTCCTCCCCATCACTTTTACTCATAAAATTCCCTTTTGTCTCAGATGACTTTACCTTTGGATTGAAAGGCTTTTTAAAGAACTTTTTCACACGATTGTTTGAATAGAAAGCAATTGCCTCATCATCTGAGTTCATGATGAACCCTTCATCTTCGTCCGAAACATCTTTCTCAGCTTCCCTTTCAGAGATCTTCGAAACCAAAGCTAGTGGACCTCCCAAACTTGCCTTCGATTCTTCAGCAATTTCGTTCACTTCGCTTTCATGAGACTTCAACTGATTGTACAAGTCATTCAAAGTTGACGTATCAAAACTCTGTTGATTCTTGACCATCATGCTCACACTACGCCACTCTTTACGAAGTCCCATAACAAAAATTAGATTGAACTCCATGGCTGATCTGGTGATACCATATCGATTGCATCGATAGATCAATTCATTAAGACGATCGTAATAAACTTCTATCGTTTCACCATCTTTCTGTCTGAAGTCCTTCAGTTCCACTAAGCATTGCTTCACAGAATTAACTTTTGTCTTCTCACTTCCCTGAAATTTCTCCTTGAGATTGTTTCAGATTTCCTTTGCAGTTGTACAACTCCTCACATAGTTGTAAACAACTGGAGGCAAAGCTCCTCTTAGCTCTCTCATGCACCTCTTCTCTAGTTTTTTCAAACGATCAGTCTGATTCTCAACTTCAGAATTTCCAGAAGATGATCTAATTGGTTGAACATTCATTGGTGGATTGAGATTGCCAGGAATGCAATTCCACAGTTCTTCATCCAATCCATTGAGATAATCATGCATACGATCAGCCCATTGATCATAATACTCAGGGATTAACATAGGAATTTTGGTGGATGAACCTAGAAGATGAGAAAATGAAGTCATGGAATTAAGATTGAAAGACGTCATTGATGTACGGAATAGATCCTTGAGAATTTTTGAAGAAACTTTGAGAATTTGACAACAAACTATATGATTCAAATCAGAATCACTAGTAGAACACTCGATTCAATGAATTAAGTGCAGAATCGAATCACAGACTAAGATCTAGACAAATTTTTCACTTTCAAAAAGTGCGGAATCTTTTGAATCAAAAGGTTGATTCAAAAACCTTTTGAACAATGTGAAAATCAGATCAGAGATATGATTCCTGCTCTGATACCAATTGAAGGATCAAAGAATCGAGTATCGAATTAATCAGAGTATGAATTCAAAATAAGATTGCGAGATTTGAACACAGAATGTAAATATGATCTTGTTTCAGCTCTATTACGCTCTCAAGTTTTACAGAGTACAAAAGACAATTCTGTCAAGACTTCGTTACAATGACTCTAGTAAACACTCCTATTTGTAGGAGAGGAAAGCGTACAAAAAATATACTAAGGACTAAACATTAAGCTTCGAATATAATGCCCTAGTAAAATAGATTACAAAATGTTCGAAGACACCAAAACACATTTCGACTAATTACAACACTTTGACCCTAACAGTTGTCTCCAAAGCTCTTTTCCGTTTACATATCTTGGTGTGCCCGTAGGGGCAAATATGGCATTAAAGAAATTTTGGAGACCGATAATTGATAAATTTCAATCTCGACTCTCCGTATGGAAGGCAAAAAACGTTATCTTTTGGTGCACGCCTCACGTTAATCAAGTCCGTTCTAAATAGTCTTCCCACGTACTATATGTCCTTGTTTAAAGCACCCAAAGGGATCCTGGATGACTTAGAAAAACTGAGATGAAAGTTTTTATGGGGTGGTGACGATCCCAAATCCAAATTCATTGGGTATCATGGCCAAAAGTGGTTGCTGCCAAATCTGATGGAGGTCTTGGTGTTGGAACGTTGAAGGTGCAGAATATTGCTTTATTAACGAAATGGTGGTGGAAGATAAAAACAGGAGATATGTGTTTATGGAAGGAATGCATAATCTCAATCAACAACTTGAACAAGAGGCCAGTTACGATAATAGCAAAAAAATCAGCAAATGGGACATGGTGTAACATCGCCAAAGCAATACAATCCCTACCTGAATATGATGTAAATCACCAGGATTTGTTTACAATGATCCTAACATCAAACACCTCCTTTCTTTTTTGGAAAGACCGGTGGTGTGGCACACTCACACTACAAGAAAGATTCCCACGTTTATATAGAGTTTGGAAAAGAAGAAGCTTTGCACAATTAATGACAGGATCAAGACTGATGGTTTCAATTGGTGTTGGAAAAGTTCAACAGATGGTGGATGACGTGTTATCGGATTTCATAAGTCTATGCTCCATGATCAGTGATACTAATACCCTACCGGTGGTCAACTGTTTTCGATTCAAGTTAAGTACAGATGGTAAGTATATCGTTCATTCCCTCCGAAAATATTTGGATGCAAAGAATGCTATCCTACAATCAGGTGCACAAATAAATTGGTCCAAGGCGGTTCCACTGAAAATAAGATGTTTTATATGGAGGGCCCTCTTAGATCGCATACCGGTGGCAGCAAATCTGGAAATAAGGGGTATAAAACTACAATCAGCCACATGTCCACTTTGTAATTTGGAAAAAGAAACAGATGATCATCTATTGATCAATTGCTCAGTGGCGAGACAGGCGCGTGGCTGGATATTTAACTGATGTGGAATTAAGGTTACTCAGTTTAACAATGTCATTGACTTTGTTAATTTCGCGGCAAATTGGGGTAGTTGTCCTAAAAAGAAAGAAAGAATGAATGTGATTGTTTATGGTCTCTTATGGTTCGTATGGATGGCACAAAACAACACGGTGTTCAAACAAACAAGGGTGACCCCCGCAAAAATTGCGGATGAAGTGATCTCTCAAACATACACATGGTTTAAGTATCGAACCCAAGGTGTTAAGGCTAGATGGATTGATTGGAGTTTATCTCCCTTTTGCTAAAATACTATTGTACTATTTATTTTCTCTTTGTACTTGTACATTGCTCATGATTTAGTTTTTTGCTGTTGTTTTTTATAAATATATTTGCCGTTTCCAAAAAAAAAAAAAATTGGTCTGTCTTTTTTTTTTTTTTTTACTGTAGAGTTAGCGTTGGTATCGACTAGAAGAAGTTTATGTATAATTAATATTCGAGTGTGTAGTAGATTAAAATTACAAGCGGTAGGCTTGGATATGTTTTATAGTCGGAACAAAAACAAAGGTATAACAAAAAGAAAAGGTAAAAAGGTATAAAATTTCAGGCCTTAGGATGTGATGGAGACTTTTTAGATGTATCCATCCACTAGAGAAGTTGTTAGGAATAGACAATTATGTCATTTATTTAATTATAAGTATCCACTTCCATCCACTACAGTAGTTGTGAGGAATTGACAATAATGTCCATTTAATTATAGATTGTATTTTAATTAGGACCTGGTTTGTTTCTGTCTCCAAACCACGAAGCACAGCCCACATGAAGCTGACGACGTCCAATCTTCCTCCTTCAGCGCTGCAATGCAATAAACTCACCTGACCGGAATGCAGTGCAGCTGCCCTTCACATTATTTTCTCCTCCGACCCCATACATTTTCAATTTTCCGGTGGTTGTTTCCTTTCCTAACATATTTTGTCGGATCCATTACCATTGAACCAGTCGTGTTAAGACACGTGGACTTGCAGGTCACTGCATTCTGGTGATTCAGAGACACATACATAGGTCCAAAAATTACAAATCGTGCGAAGAAGAGTGTCCGCTGGAGATTGCAGCGCCTAAAAAAGCCGTAGAATGATTAAAATTAAAAATACACTATAATATTTAAATAAAGGGTATAATTGTTATTTAACTAACTAATTATGTTGTTGAATTCAAGATTAAGCCCAAATCAGCATCTTATACCCTATTATCTTTTCTCCATATTCTCCTTCCTCGCTTTTACTAAAACTTAAAATGAATATAACTTCAAAAAATGAATAACTTTTCGGAATAAAGCTAGTTCTCTCATGCCGCTTCCCCCGTTAAAACAATAGCGTAGGAAAACCATTCTTTCTCACGATTGATTCTCCTTGGAACACACTATATAATTAATCCAAATTTGGAAAAAATTATCACCATTATTCACCAAAGCATTTCATTTTCCAAAAAATTGAGCCTCCCCCTAAAAAAGAGCCATGCCTTCCACCATTGATAATCCAGTCGACAAGGAAGAAATTGTTGTCGTGAAGATAGAAACACCTACAGAAGTCTACCATGGAACATTTACTTTCGCCAGAGCAGTTCTCTTGAAATGCATCGGCTACATCGTTAGTCTATTGAAAAGTTTGGGTCGCCTCTGGATGGAGCATTACCCGCAAATAGTTGGGGGAATCATGCTCCCATCCCCAATTAAGTTTATTATCGTCGGTTTAGCTGCCTTCGCTGAAATGAAATCGCAAGGCTCTGAATTTCCTTTCAAAACCCACCCTCTAACTATGAATGTCGCCATTGCGGGTCTACTCTTTTATGGTTTGGCTTCAGCAGCCCAGCATTTCATTTCTGCCTGCACACGTCTTGGTCCTGCTTCCGTCTATGCCATTGTTGCTCACTCGGGAAGGATTGGTTGTTTGTGCATTTTGGTAGCATCTGTCGCATCATTGTTCTATCTTTGAGATTCCCATCGTCAGTACTTGATTAAAGGTGCAGTACGTATGCCTATGGAGTGGGAGCATATTTTTGAAAATGATTCCTTGGATTATGTTTGTTGTTCCATGGAAGATAGAAATTTAATATTCTATTAGAGATAAGCCTTAGCTAGTTAGCTTATAACGTTGAATTTTTAATGTTTGTATTACAGGCCAGTAATCTACTATATACAGTTATACACACTTTAATATAATGGGAATATCCAATATGAAATTATTATTATACTAGGTGTGAGACTCGTATATTATATTATACGAGATTATTAAAAAAAATTAATACGAATGAGTAAACGGAAAGTTTATTTATGTTTGAAATTTGAAATAAGTGAAAATTAAGAGAAAAAAATTTAAAAAAATGAACACACGAAAAATAAATAAATTAAGATTACGTAATTAGTTGTCAGACTCGTGTATTAAACTGGTTAATTATAAAAAAATGTTAAATAAGAAGGTTTAAACTGTAAATTTTTAAATTTTGAAATTTAAAATTTAAAATTAATATAATCATTATGGTATATTTAATTTACGGAAACTAAATTAATGATATATTGAAAAATGAAAATTAAAGTAAATGATAAGTAACAAGTGGAAAATCTATATCTATAAATTACCACAAATTGACATTTGACGAATTGAAGGAAATAATAACATGTGATAAAATTATTTTCATTTATCAGAGAGGATATAAATGTTGGATCAAAAAATAATTATGTTTGGACACTGGTGATCAACAATATGATAGGGTAAAAAAAATGATAGGGTTAGGGCAAAATACAATTAATACCTAATACTCAAAATACAATTATACCTAATAGATAAACATTATCAAAGATTTTCTTTAAGTCAATTTATATTATTATTAAAAATAAATTAATAAAATAATGAGTTACTAAAGAAAATAAATTTGGAATAAGTGAAAATAATAAAAGTAATGGACATCCTTAAAACATTAAATATTTAAAGAAAATATAATTAAGGTGGTAGTTTTTGTGCAAACGAGAGACAGACAAGAGACCATTATTATAAGACAAAATTGCAAAAATGGTCCCTGTGGTTGGCAAAATTCTATAGTTTTGGTCCAAAACGAAATGTTGGTACACCACTGGTCCAATTTTAGATAACTTGTGTGGTTTTGGTCCCTATGGTTGTATTTTCTTGTGTTTTTGGTCCACATCCCACCTAAAATGACTAATATGCCCCTTAAATAATTATATTTTAAGTTCTTTTATTTATTTTCTTATTCTTATAATAAAATGAAAAACAAAAACAAAATAAACTGTAACGTCGTGATTTTCATCATAATTTTTTTTTATTTTTAAAACATTTATTTAACATAATATGTTAGCGGAAGACTTAGTTTTTAATTCAAAACATTTTCAAAACCACAACGTTACTTCAAACAAACATAATTCCAAACCATTTAAAATGTAACAAGTATTTTAAAGTAAATAATCAAAAACGTGTCCAAGAGTGGTATCGTTAATATAAATCTACTACCCATAAGAACCCCTCTCACCAAGGCCAATCTTCTAAACTGCATGCACCAATCATAAGGCACAAAAGAGAAAAGATACAAGTGTCAGCCCCTACTGAGTGAGTTCATAAAGTTGCACATAAAACATATAAACCCCAAATGGGTCAATCATTCATTTTACGATGAAGCATAAAAATGATAGACAAGTAAAGATAGCAAAACAACCACATAATATAGTTAACCAATCATATATTCCACCGCATGCATACATAAATGTTCAACCGCAGTTCTACCACTTAACATATATAATCAACCAAATATCATATAAACAACCGAATAGCATGTAAACAATCACATTTCATATATAGATAATCTTTATTTGTTCAACCTTTTATTAATAACCAGCCGTTTGTTACACATTCAACATTTTAATATACAACCAACATTTGTTATATATTCAACCTTTTAATATGCAACCAACCTTTTGTTACATACTCAACCTTTTATACAACCAACCTTTGTTATATATTCAACCTTTTATTATATCTATCCAACCGATTGATAGAAAAGTGTACCTTAGTGCTACCTAACCCAAGAGAAACACCCCGTTCACTACTTGTGTGCACGGCCAACCGAATGCTCTAAGTGGCTCATGACTTCCACCCGAAACACCAACCCCATGACTCCACTTTTGCTACTCCGACTTTGCAAAGTACAAGTACCTCGCGGTGTCGTTCAGGATCGGTACAAATGGTGTCAATTATACCGATACACCTCCCGATTCCCACGTGATGTTTGATCCGGCCACACCATAAAGCCAACACCACTCCAGTTCCCGTACACTGAGGTGCACACGAACCGCGTGTCACACGGCCATCTAGAAAGGCCATGTAACTAATCACCGTTATGGTTTAAGCTCTTTCCACCTATTAGACTTGCAAGGTTCTACCCTTAACACCATTACACCTCGTAATTTCATTTATACATTAAGTAAAGCATGTAATGCATACCATATAAATGTGTATTAAGCATGCAATGTATTCATAACCAACACATCAAAACACAACCATACATCATATTTCAAGCAACTTAAGCTAGCATGCTATATACATCAAGTTCATCAAAGTGTAAACAACGTAGCAATTAGGTCATAACATGGCATTAGCACAAAGCATATATTAGCATCACAAATATCATATCATCATCAATCACAAGTAATGACATGGTCATCCTAAAGTTAATAAAATCACCATCTATGGATTGCACGTTTCAATCATGCTTAGTGAGTTAAAACTATGAACTCACCTTTGATTTTTTGATAATACGTAACTTCGTGGCTCCTCAATTACATCGATATCGAACCTATATAAATGATGATAATATTTTAGACTTAATCACTTCCAAATTATATTTGTAAACGTTTGAAATTCCACCATCCTAATCGAACTATTAATTAATGTTCATATTCGACCAACAACAATAATTACTATAATTTATTTAGTTTACAGATTCATCCAATTTTTCCCATATATATATATATATATATATATATATATATATAGATATAATATATAGATATATATATATAATTTTAAAATGCAAAATAAATGGAAAATCCCAAAATTCTTTTTTTAATATTATTTTCGGAACTTGAATTAACTAAAAAAAATAAATAAAAAATAAAAATAAAAAATAAAAAAAAATCCCCTTTTTTTTTGAAAAATACGTGAAATATTCTAATAGAATATTACACTGACATATTCTAAAAAATAATTTTAAAATGCAAAATAAATGGAAAAATCTAAAAATTCTTTTTTTAAATATTATTTTCAAAACTTGAACTAACTAAAAAAAATAAAATAAATAAAAAAAAATTCCATTTTTTTTGAAAAATACGTGAAATATTCTAATAGAATATTACACTGTACATATTCTAAAAAATAATTTTAAAATGCAAAATAAATGGAAAATCCAAAAATTCTTTTTTTAAATATTATTTTTGGAACTTGAATTAACTAAAAAAATTTTAAAAAAAAATAAAAAAATTAAAAAAATGTGTCTCACGGTCTCACAAAATTAGGCCGTCTACTGAACCTAACCCTCTATATTATATATATCTATATATCTATATATATATAAAGGTTCAAATGAACACAAAAAAAATTAAGAACCATAAGAACCTTTTATTTATAAGTTATTATTAAATGTTTTATTATTTTAACCAAATATGTTATTCAAATATTTAAAAAGTTATTTTTTTCAATTTCAAATTTTCATTATAATTTTTTGTAAGGGTTTAGTAATTATCCCCTGCAAACAAAAAGTAATTGTCTAATTAAATATATTTTTTAATGAGAATCCTATATTTCCTACACAGATTCGTACACAAATTCATCGTGATCTTCGCTTTTTATTGAATCGATCGATTCTGTTAATCGATTATGTTAAATTGTTAGATTTTCATATAGATTTAGTTTATATGGAATCATTATCTGAAAATGATTCTAGTAGATTAGGGTATTTGATCGACAAAATCGATCCGTGTTCGTCGATCGTTCGATCTGATGACCGTTGTTTTCAAGGTGAAGTATCATCGTTTTCTTCTGCCGATTCAATGTATGTTCAAAGTAATGTTCAAATCGTATCAGGAACAGGTCAATTTAATGTTCAGTCTGTAGATCAGTTTCAAGCACAATCTGATGATGATATTGGAATCGAAGGTGAATCAGAAGCAGGTATCTCGTTTCCTTCTGTTACTAATTTAATTCGTTTTTAAATATTTTAGATGAAAAAATTCCTTAATCTGTTTGTTTTTCATTTGTTTAAGTTATTAATTTGGACTTTAATATATATTTTTTTGTATTATTTAAGTTATTATTTGTGAGCTGTAATTATTGATGTTCTATCCGTTATTAAGAGGTGAATTGGTTGTTATGTAGTTGTTTTTGTTTGTAAATGTATAAAATAGTGTTTTTTTTTTGTTAATGTTTTTTTTATTTGTAGTTACATTGTGAATTTTTAATTTTTTGTTTATTTTTATAATTTTTTTATTTTAATATGATAAATTGTTTTTTACCTGTAAGTATGATGTTGTAACTGTTATAAATGTGGTTTTATTTAGTTATGTACTTGTTTTTACATGTAAATGTATTAAATAGTGTTTTTATTTTTTAATCTTATTTTCCATTTGTAATTAAACTGTGAATTTTCAATTTTTTTGTTCATTTATTTATAATATGTGTGTGTTAAGCTGATATATGTTTTTATTTTTCTTATTAGGTCAACCTATATTTTCTGATTTTTTTCTCTCCTGATGGAACTCGTAAAATATGGATTCCTGAGAATGTTGATGATGTTAAGCCAAAGTTGTATAACAAATATCTAAGTGTTGATGATGCAATAAATATGTATAAGGCTTATGTTGCTAAAGCTGGTTTTGATGTAAGAAAAGTTTCTACAAAGTTACACAATAAGTCACGTGTTCTTACTCATCGGTCTATGCTGTGCAGTAGAGAGGGATTTCCTCAAAGTGTTTATGTACACAACTAATTCTAAAAAAAATAAAGCTCACATAAATTCTAATATTAAAAGGAAAGGATGTCCAACTTTTGCAAAATTTAGAAGAGTAGGAAATTCAGAAGTTTTTGAGCTATACAAATTTGAAGAAAGGCATAATCATGATTTGGTTACAGAAGATTATAGGCATTTCTTGAGGTCTAACTTGCAATTGGACAATTCTGCTCAAGAATTCATTAAGAAGATGGGAAGGGTAAAGATTGGTCCAATGAAAGCATATAGGATAATGCAAGAATTAAGAGGCTCAAACAATGTTGGAGGGACTGTTGTTGACTACAAGAATCAATCTAGAAAAGTGAATTGTTTTATTGAAAATGATGATGTGCAGATGGTAGTTGATAAGTATTTAAATAAAATGAAAGAGAATCCAAGTCTTACATTTGAGTTTATATGTGATAAGGGAAAATTGGTTTCACTTTTTTGGGCTGATGAAGCTGCAAAGGTGAATTATAGAGAGTTTGGTGATGTTGTTTGTTTTGATGCTACTTTTCGGACGAACAAGTAATCTTTTTTATATTTTGTTTTCTTATATTATTTTCTTTTGTTGTTTTTATATTAACTTTTGTTATATATTTATTCTTTAGGTATCGTATGGTATTTTTTCCTTCCATAGAAAGAATGTTACTTTTGCAGTTGGTCTTTTGAGCAGTGAAACTACAGAGTCTTATTTATGGCCCCTTAAAACTTTTTTGAAGACTTTAGGTAAACAACCGACTGTTGTTCTCACTGATGAAGATGCAGCAATGAAAATTGCAATTAAGAGAATATTTCCTGATTCACGTCATTGCTTATGTATGTGGCACATAACCCAAATTTTGCCTTCTAAGGTATGTATTTTTAATTTTTAGACTGTTTATTTTGTATATATTATGATTATATATTTTTGTTGTTATATTTTGTTTTTTTTTAATGTTATCTGTTTTTGTTAGGTGTGATTTTTAGTTTTTTTTTTGTTTATGATTTGAATTTTGTTAAATTATATATTTTTAGTTCATTTTTTATTATGTTAATTATTATATGTTTATAAGTTGTGATTTTTTTTGTTTATAGTATTATTTTTAAATATTCACCTGTTAGTATGTTTTTAAGTTGTGAATAATATCATTTTATATGAAATTTATTGTATATGTTATTATCTTATATATGTTTTTTATGCATGTGTTCTTTATGGTATGTGCTGAACTTTCTAATGATCTGAAATTCAAGAACGTTTCAATACGCTTATTTGGAATTCTAGGATAGATGCTTCGGTTTTGATATTAGATGGAAAAATTTTATTGAAGATTATAAGCTCCAAGAGATTTCATGGTTTTCAAAAATGTTTGATATGAGAGAAAGTTGGATTCCAGCATATTTTAGAGACATGCCTTGTGTCTGGTTTGATGAGGACCACTTCTAGGCCAGAGAGCATGAATTCTGCATTCAACAAAGTTGCTCACTGGGGTAATTCATTAGTTAAGTTTTTCACTTCTTTTGATTCAGCTATGGACAAGCAAAGACATAATCAGTGTTTCTTAGACCATCTTAGCAATATTTCCAAGATTAAAAGTAAAATTTCACTAAAAACTATGGAACATGCTGCTGATATGTATACTAATGAAGTTTTCATAAAAGTGAAGAAAGAAATTGAACAATCTGTATTTTCATGTTCGCAACACAGTGTTACGAATGAAGAATTTTATGATAGATTTGTTGTTATACAATGTAAAGATATTATGGGGTCTACTCCAAAAGTTGTTAATGAAGAAGATTCAGAAAGTGAGTGTGAATTTGTTGTTCCAGAAAAGACTTTTTTTTCAAGGTAAATTATATTTTTTTAATTTTTGTTTTTCAAATTTTAAGTTGTGGATTATTAATATTTTTGTTTTGTTTATTTTGGACAGGTTGTTTATGACAAAAAGGAATCAAGTTTTGAATGCTCTTGTTCATTGTTCTTTCAGCATGGTATATTGTGCAGGCATATATTTTGCATTTTTAGGACTTATCAAATAAACAATATCCCTTCAAAGTACATACTTAGGCGTTGGTGCAAAGGTGTAATCCATCTGAGGTTCTTATGAAGCAATGTTCAAGTGATGAGGCCTCATCATCATCATCATTGTTATATGATCCTCTTTCTAGTCAGGTTTTGAGTTTTGTGGAAGAAAGTGTGTCTATTTTGAGTAAAGATGCAGATAAGCTTAAGGAGTTTTTTTGAGCTCATTAAGAAGCAAGTTTAAAGTTGATGGTGTTTGTTCTGCATCAAGTTGTTCAGATCATTGTTGAAAAGAAAGTATATTTCTGAGTTTGTTGAGTCATCCTATGGAGTGAAAAGCCATTTATTTCTGATATTGGAAACCCTTTAGATGACATAAGTAATAAAGGATGTGGTACAGGTAAGAGGTTGAAAGGAGCTAGAGAAAAAGCCATTACTGAATCAGTTAAACAAAAAAGATTTTTTTCCAGATGCAAACACTATGTTATTAGTCACAATAGTAGGTCATGTGAGCGTTTGGAAAGACAAGCAAAAGAAAAAGAAAGTGTTCAAATGGCAAAAATATGGATGCAGGATGTATTTGAGAGATTTTGAATATTTTTATCTTTTAGTTTTTACTTAATAAGATTTTGAATGGACTAGTATTGTTTTGTACTCAACGGTTTTTAATTTTTTTAATGAAATGAAGATTTACTTAATAACAATTGTTAAGTTTGATATATTAGATATTATTATCTATGATTATTGATATTATATCAATATATTGTATTTAGCAACTGTGAATTTTTTAATTATGTTTCTAAATTTTTTTTGTATGTTAGTCACAACTTAATTATTATATATCATTAATATATATATTGTACTTAAAGATAGTATTTATGTTTCTTAATTTTTATTTTATTGCATACTGTTGTATTATATATATCAAGTGCATTCAAATGTTTTTTAAAAAATTTTACCATTTTTAAAAAAAAAATTAAAAAATTCAATTCACAACTTAATAATTTATTCATTTCGTTTTAATTTAAACATTCACAATTGTCAAAGTTATGATAAACATTCATTTTCTTAATAATTTTTATATCAACATCAACAATTAACTAGAAATTCATATTTAGCTAAGAAAATATATCATTCCAACATGTTTACCATGTGTGCAAACATTACCCAAAATAAAAACATCATAAACACCATATTTGTTCAACTAGATAGAAGTCTTCAATAGCAACTAAGCATTTATAAAAATAAAAACAGTAGAAATTTATTTTTTTAGTTTTCACCAATCAACTAAAACCTTTCCTCATAGTTCTGCATTCCATGATTCACAACTTATTTTTGTTCTTCTGTTGTCAGCTTTTCAAACTCAAGACCTTCTTCTATTATCTTGTTGCTGTAGATATTGATATCATTCACCAAGATCTTTGTAACATATTTTGATCGAAGCGTTGTCAATTGTGTTTTCTGCTGCTTTTGATCTTTTTCAATCTCAGAATCCCAGTCATTTGGCCCTTGTCCCTTGAAAGTTTCCATATGTCTCATCAACATAACTTCACCGTCGTTCATGTTGTTTTCTGTCCACCACTTCAGTTTAAAAATCACAACTTCCTTCTTCATTAATTCGTCTGCTGGGGTGTTTTATCAATCAAGTACGATATCATGAAATTGAGCTGTATTCAAAAAATTTATCAGTAATGATAATAAGATATAAGATTCACAGTTTAAATTTTTATAGAAAACATTTGCTTTTTTTTTCTAAGTTATTAATTAATACTCACCAAATAATGTGGCAACATTCCATAAGTATGCACAATATCTTTTGCGATTTTTTCATTGTCAATCAGATGTACACTAGATTTTTGCAAACCGAAGCAAATGATGTAGTAGTGCTTTCTGTGCAGTATTGGGAAGAATATTTGCATTAATAATATAGTTGAAATTGTTAGTACTTTAATATAAATATTTGTATATATACAATATAATTATAATAAAAAGTAATAAATAGTTTTTTCTTACAATTCCAACTTTTTAAAAATCCTTTAGATGTGGGTAGTTCTTCATGGCTTCATTCATTTTTTCTTTAAACTTTTCCAATCTCTTATCATATGTTGTATCCCTATCCAATATTTCATTGCTCTAGGAAAAAATGAAAATGTTATTTTATTAAATTATCATTAGTTATTTTATATCAATATTAAAATTCTATACTTATATTTTAAAATATTTCTTACCACGATTCCTGTTGGGAAGTAGAAGCATAATGGTGTTGTATTTGCTTTACGCTTCTCTTCATCATTCAATAACATCGACCAACAGTCGATTACTTTTGGGTGGATCCATGCACTTGGTATTAATGTTTCAAAAAATATCATTTCCACTTTATGCCCATGCTTTGTTTCAAATATTATTTCCCTGTTTGATTAATATAAAATTATTAAATTTAATTTTATTAAGTTGTGAATATTGATATTAGTGTTTCTTTTTATCAAGAAAAAAATAAAAATAGTTGAAAAAAGTTGTTTTTATTTTAGTTTTGTTCATATTTACATTTTTATTCACAACTTAATACAATTAAATTTAATGAAGTTTTTAAATATTATTTATATTAAAACCATTCACTTACTTGTAATCCTTTTGTAGTGAGAATATGGATTTTGAAATCCTTGTCTCAACAACTTCTAACTTTTTTCTCACTTCAACTGTCCGCCTCATGTAAGGTGATTGGTAAGGCTCTGTTTTAGTTGTTGTCCTCTTTGATCTTTTGTAAACTTGTTTTTCTTTTCCTTTTCCTTGATCATTCTTTCTTCAAGTATGTTTTTTTCATTTCCCTTTTCTTCTTTGTTGTTTGTTGTTCCTGTAATATATATTGTATAGTAGTCATTTTAATTGAAAATTTAAGTTTGTTTTTAAGTTATATTTTTGTTTTTCATATTACCTTCTCCTTGAGATTCATTGGTAAGAAAATCCTTTTGATCAGTCTCCATATTTGGTGTGTTTGGCATATTATCTTCAAAGTTTGGATTATCGTATTTTGTTTCTGTTGGAGCATTTTCTTCGCCTTTTTGTGTTTCTAAGTGATGTTCAAACTCTTTTTCACCTGTCTCATTTTCTTTTTCTTTTTCTCTTGTTCTTGATGATTCACCAATGCTTTTGTTAAACACTTTTTCAATGTTTACAAACCTTTCAAACCATCCATATAGTTCTCTATAATCTGGATATTTTTGAAGTACATGCTGCAATGTTTTTTGAATTTTGTTTCTACACTCCAAAATGGTTTCAAACTCACTTTCTATCAAAAGACAATAGTTTTGCAATAAGTATTAAATTATTGTTAGTTTATAGGTACATTTTTATAAAAATTAATTCACAATTTAATATTCAGTTCACAGCTTAATAGAGTAAGTTCCATTATTACCTCTGCACCAATGTCATCATTTTCTTCTGTATCTGCATCTTCTTCAACTTGTTTTCCTTTTCCTTTTCCTTTTTCTTTGACAAAGTCAACATCTTCTTCATCTTTGTATTTTATCATATCAATATCCTCATCCAATGTGACCAATCCAAACTGACCTTGATAATTTTCAATGTTTTGCCTTGATTTAATTTTTCCATAATTCCAGTAGCATATTGGTCTTATTTTTCGGTTGACGTATTGGTTTTGACAATCAGTTGAATGTAGATAGAGAAGTTGTGAATTATTTTGTAACAAATTAAAATGCTATTTGTTTTAATCACTTTGATGATATCAAATGCAATTTAATTTGAATTTTACTTACAAGCAAGAATGGAAGTGGCCCAACATAGTAGACACCTTTGTTTCTTGGTTTCCATGAAGTCCTACTATGTGGCAATGCATCACTAAGATATTTGCACC